CAACCTTGTACATGGTCATGGGCACACTCCCCCATGCACAGACATACCTAGTCATTCAGCCTGCCCACCTATCTATCCACCCATATATCAATGTTTGCCATCACTGACAACACAGTACTGTATGTGCAAAAGGGTTCATCTTTGTTGTCTGTACCTCCCATGCACCTCTCTAAGTCTTCCTCTTTCTCAATGCCACCATCTTGATCACTCACATTTGGTACATTGCTCTTCCCTTCACCCAAATCAATACTTGTCTCTACCTATCTATCAGTGTTCCCTCCTCTACCCTCCCAGCCCTGGTAACCAACAAATAAAATTTCCTTCTATATATAAACCTTTCATTGACTTTGACAATAACGTACTAATACAGTATTTATCCTTCTGTGACTGACTTATTTCATGCAGCATAATATCCTCCAAGTTCATCCACATTATGTGGTGTTTTTCAGATTCTACATTATTCTTTGGGGTTGCATAGTATTCCATTGTGTGTATGTACCATAGTTTGGTTATCCATTCTTCTGATGATGGGCTACTAGGTTGTTTCCATCTTTTGGCTATTGTAAATAGTGTGGCAATAAACATGGGTGTGCATATGTCTGTTCTTGTCCTGGCTCTCACTTCTTTAGGATGTTGTTGTTGTTGTTGTTATGTGCTGTCGAGTCGGACCCGACTCATAGCGACCCCTCCTTGGGTTTCTAAGGCAGTATCACTACGGAAGTATATTGCCCCATCTTCCTTCCGAGTAGTGGCTGGTGGGTTTGAACCGCCAGCCTTCTGGTTAGCAGTCAAGTGCCTTAGCCACTATTCTACCAGAGCTCCCATTCTTTAGGATATGCCTAGTAATGGAATGGCTCAATCAAATGGTATTTCCAATTCCAACTTTTAAAGGAATCATCATACTGCTTTCCACAGTGGTTATATCACTTTACAGTCCCACCAGCAGCATATGAGATTCCCGATCTCTCCACATATTCACCAGCATCTGTTATTTTCTGTCTTGTTGAACTTTGCTACTAGTGCTGGGGCCAGATGGTATCTCATTGTTGTTTTGATTTGCATCTCTCTAATGGCTAATGGGGAGCTCTGGTGGCATAGTACCTAAAGCACTTGACTGCTACCCAGACGGCTGGTGGTTCAAACCCAGCAGCCACATCTCGGGAGGAAGATTGGGCAATCTGCTTCCATAGTGATACTGCCTCAGAAACCCAAGGAGGGGTCACTATGAGTCAGATCCGACTCGACAGCAATGAGTTTGTTTTATTTTTTGGTTTGAATGGCTAATGATCATGAACATTTCTTCATGTGTTTATTGGCCACCTGAATAGCCTCTTTGGTGAAGTGTCTATTCATGTCTTCTGCCCATTTTTAAATTGGATTATTTGATTTTTTGTTGTCGAGGTGTTGGAGTTTTCTATAAATTTTAGAGATACATATGCGTTACATTTTAATATAAAGGTTTAAAAATAAAATAAGAAGTCATGCTAAAAGAAAGCACTATTTCTTGTGAGTATTGTAAAAATGTTTAAGGGAAAATGAGAAAGTATCTATGTATCAGAGCTAAAAAATAAAGCAGTACTCTTTCTAGAAACATCTTCAATTTAATCAACTATAATAAACTATAATCATATCTTAGAACAGCTAGGTTCAATGTGACCTGACTTTATTCCATAGCAGTCTACACAGAATTAATATACATGTAGAAAAAGAATATGCATTAGCCAAATTGGAAGAAAAACAAAATTTTATTATTGAAACTCAATTTCTCAACAATTCTTTTTTAAAACCACAATCTCAAAGAAAACAGAGGCTTCAGTGAATGAGACTGAAAATCCAGAGTGTTGTGGATCAGTCCATTGTCTTACAACCAGTTACTAAGGGGAAAAGAAATCTATGGTCTGGTCTGCAGCTTACATACATGATAGCTTTTGGGATACAGCTCAGAGGG